ATGGTCCAGAATCAAAGTGTATAACCAAATATAAAATATGAACTCACTAATACTCAAAAGCTCACTTGTATTAATTAACCAGTCTGATTACAAGGAAATTCCCGATCGGTAGGTCGGAATAATGCTTTAATACAAGAAATAAGAGCAATAATGCTATTCTAGAGCCTGAGTATTGAAATGCTAACCCTTACAATGATTTCAAACCTTCTATTTATACTAATGGAGAACATGGGCTGCTCTATGTTGATTGGCTGTTGTTCCACCGACTTGGTCACCCATGTTTCCACTTGCTGATGTCACAATCTGGCATTAATTGCACCTGGCCACTTGCCGGTTGTCCGTTGCTCGAACGGATGTTGGACCATGCTGAAGACGCTGTCGAATTGGCCCAAGTATGATATATAGTCCGAACTCCGTTCGGTATATCTTCTTACTAGGCCAACCCTTTCTTGGGCCGAATCTCGTTCGGCATGAATTCTTCACTGGATCTACTCATCATAGAGTGACGGGCTCGTCGTTTGGGACGGGTATCTTGGTCCTTCTTGATCCGGGTATTGGGCCTCTGGATCAATATCCCAACACAAGTCCCCCACTTCCGATGTCTCGAATGACAGTGAGTGCATTAGGAAGTATGAACACCAATGTTGTAATTCGCCGAATGGCGATCGGGGTACAGAAGTAGTCAGTTCCCCATATTGTGATTTGACGGATGTCGTTTTATTTTCCCATACTCATGATGATAACCGTCGTTTAGTCTTTTCATTGGACACGCGTTTAGCTTAAATGCTTCTGATGACGTGTCGCTTCCTGATTGGTCCTCGATACGGCAACTTAAAGGCTATAAATTAGCCCTTAACCTTTCAAATCCGGGTTTCGATTATGCAATCTCCCTCGCATCGTTGCTCCCTCTGAAATTTCTCCCAGCTTTCGTCGCTCAGGTACCTTTCCTCTCTCTATTTTTTCTCCTCATTTCTGGCTCGGTCAAGATGAGTTCTCAACAGCATTCTCCTGATTCGGAGATGGCCTCCCATGGAGATGACCGTGACGCTGCTATTGTGGATGTCATCACAGTCCCATTCGCCGGTGGTTCTACTGAAACGGTGACAAATACTAGGGCTGAGGCGGAGGACCTTCCTAGCACTTCATCTTCCTCTGGTGAAAGCTCTGATGGCACCAAATCTGAGGATGAAATGAATTTAATGGCGGCTGGACGGCCAAAAGATTTCCCCCGTCATTCCCTCGACCTAGGTTTAATTAGGGCAAGATGGCAGAAATTGACTGCCAATAATAGGGCCGAAATTCCGGCCCTAATCCCAGACCCAGTGAACTTTCGATTGCAAGCTGGGCTTCATCCCCTGCGTCACGCCTCTGGGATGATCGTGGTCCATTTTGATTCAGTGAGGGCTGGGCTTAGATTTCCATTACATCCCTTTTTTATTTCATTTTTTAATTTTTATGAAATTGTACCTGCCCAAGTCATGCCGATCGCCAAGATGAGGTGAGACTATCTCCCTTCCGAATTTGTTCTGACACCTTTCCCGAGCCCGTTTTGATCCCTTTTCCGTTCGTGATCCACGGGGTCAAAACTCTTAGCTGAGGTGAATTCCTCCAAGCCGTTTTGATCGTGACCACCTGGTCAAACTCTCAGCTGGGACAGGGGCTCCCTCCAAACTGTTAACCCGTTCGTCATTCGGTCATCCGGAATGATCCCACGTGTTAACAAGCTGAGGTGAGACTATCTCCCTTCCAAACCCATAATTCCGATGCATTCCGAACTATTCTTTCCGGCTCGTATCATCCATATTAGGGGTCTGAGGTAACCCTTTTCAAACTGTAAGCAAGGTCACCGGATCGGGTCATTCCTCAATTATAGCTAAAAGAGCGACTCGCTTCCAAATCAAGTTAATGACTGAGGCGAGATTTTTCAAAACCATAGTTCCGATTCCCCGGACGACAATCCGTACCTTATCCGAACGTCGCTCGGTTCGTGCATATCTTACAGTCTTGACACCATCTCCAAGCTGTTTTGATCCCTTTGCCCGTACGTAATTACAGGGTCGAATTTAGCTAAGTTGACGACTCAGCTCCCTCCAAACTGTTAACCCGTTCCTCATTCGGTCATCCGGAATGATTTTACGTGTTAAAAAGCTGAGGTGAGAATCACTGACATCAAACTCCAGGCCATTTTGATCCCTTTAACAATGCGTAATTACAGGGTCAAACTCTAGCTGAAATAATGGCTCCCTCCAAACTGCTAATATGTTCCTCATTCGGTTGTCCAGAACGATTCCCATATTAACCGCTGAGGTGAGACTATCTGAGTGTCAAACTCCAAGCCGTTGGCTGAGAATGACTTTCCTTCCATGCTGTTAACCCGTTCGTCATTCGGTCATCCGGAATGACCGTGTTAACCATGGGCTGAGATTTTCTGAGCATCAATTCTTCAAGCCGTTTTGATCCCTTTATCCGTTCATAAATCTAGGGTCAAAACTTCCTTAGCTGAGAATGATTTTCCTTCCATGTTGTTAACCCGTTCATCATTCGGTCATCCGGAATGATCGTGTTAACCATGGGCTGAGATTTTCTGGAAGTTATGTCTCCCTCTCTATACATTTTTTTTAGAGGTGGCAACAGCCGTTTTTACTGATAAAATTTCCTTAGATGTTCCGTATTCCATGTGCCTGCCGGTCGACCTTCGATATTTTGTAGGCCAAACGTTCCTGAAGCATACTTCTTACATATTTGGTAGGGGCCTTCCCAATTTTGTGCCATTTTTCCACCTTCGAGGGGTTTGCTTTTTTCTCGCTTTCTTACCACCAGGTCCCCTACCTCGATTGAACGGAATTTTACTTGTTTATCAAAGTATCTTTTCGTGGCTCTGTGATACTCTTCCATTCGTGCAGCTGCCAGATCCCTTCCTTCCTCTATGAAATGCAATTCGGCCCGTAGGTTGTCCTCATTCTGTTCTGGGCTGTAATGCACCGTTCGGTGTGTGGGAACTAGGATCTCCGTTGGTACTTTGGCATGGAACCCGTAAGCAAGGGCAAATGGAGTTTCTCCTGTGGCCGTTCGGGGTGTAGTCCTGTAAGTCCATAAAATATAATTTAACTGATCAGGCCACGATGAGGAGTATTCTTCTAGCTTTTTCTTCATACCATCCATGATAGTACGTTTCATATTCTCTACTTGGCCATTCGCCTGAGGGTATGCCACAGATGCTCTGGAATGTTTGATTCCCCATTTGATGAGGTAGTTCTCAAAATTCCGGCTTACGAACTGCCTTCCATTATCGGTTACAATCTGCTCAGGGATTCCGAACCGGCAAATGATATTCTTCCAGACAAACTTTTAACATTTGACATCTGTGATGCTGGCCAGTGGTTCGGCCTCTACCCATTTGGTAAAGTAATCTATCCCCACGATGATATACTTGTTGTTCCCAGGGGCCGTAGGTAGAGGACCTAACAGGTCGATCCCCCATCTTGCGAATGGAAGGGCCACCGTCATTGGAGTGTAGAAAGTGGCTGGCCGTCCGGGGACCGGTGCGTACAGTTGGCATACCTTACATTTCCTAGTATGTGCAAAGCAGTCTTGTTGGATAGTCGGCCAATAATACCCTTGCAGGATGATTTTTCTGGCCAGTGTCTTGGGCCCTTGGTGGCTAGAGCAGATACCTTCATGAATTTCTTCCATTACGGCCGCCGCTAGATCGGGTGGGAGGCATTTCAAATATGGTCCACCAAACGTCTTTTTGTACAGCTGTCCGTCCACCAATTCGAACATGGAAGCCCTCCTCTGGATGCATTTTATCTGATAAGCAGGATTTTTATCTTGTGGGAGGGTTCCGTCTTTCAGGTAGTTGGTCATATCTATGACCCAGCTAGGGACGGCATAAGATATGGCCTCGATCTGGAGCACCATGATTGCTGGGGTTGCCAATGTTTCCCGATGGGCAAAACGTTGGATATGAGTCGGGATCTCCTGTGCCCGATCGTCGAACGCTGCATTTTCTAACTTGGATAGGATATCTGCTTCAGTATTCTCTATCCTGGATATTTGGTCGAGCACCACCTGTTCAAATTTGCTTATCTGCTCCTCAACTATCTCTTTGTAAGCCTTCATTCTCTCTTCTTTAGCCTCAGCAGTGCCATTTACTTGATGTACCACCAATTGACTATCCGATCGGACTTTTAACCGATCGGCACCCAGGGCCTCCGCATATTTTAAACCAGCAATGAGGGCCTCATACTCAGCCTCATTGTTGGTCGTACCTGAAGGGGTTTCCTAGGGGTGCTGGTCGGCTCTCGGCAGGGGTGGCTCTTTTGGATAAGGATCCTGAGAGCAAGAAATGGAATGACTCCATTGTAATACTTGGAAATTTTGACTTAAAATCATAGCTTATGCTTCGGGGCGAAACATCTTTTAAGAAGAGTAGAATGTGACACCCGAAAATTTTAAAATAGAAGTATACAAAAAAAAACATGCTTCGTATGACATATAATAAATTTGATAATAAAATACTATAAATATTAAGAATGAATAAAGTGACTTTATCAATATCCAAAAGTTGAAGATTAAAGTATGCGTATAAAATGTACGTAGTATAATACATGACATCAAGGGAAAAAAAAGAGGGTGACTATTAACTCAAACAAAATACTCAAAACAAATAGTGTACATGCATTATGACTACCAATATAACATACAGAGTAAAAAAATATAATAAGAATGAAATGTTGACTTTTCAACTTATGCATATGGTGGCATGGAGTATTATTATACTCCATTACTATGGTATATCCGAAACGGCTAAGCTGTGCAAAAAAAACGTAGGAGCTGTGAAAAGTTAATGCTAAGTTTCGTAACCCACGTATATGCTAAGCCTAGAGCCTTCTCACTTGCATATATATATATATATATATATATATATATATATATATATATATATATATATATATATATATATATATATATATTACGGGGGCAGCGATCTACACACAAGAAAAGAGAGAAACAAAAAGAAAAAAAGAGTAAGTGAGAAAAAGAGAGAAAGAAAGAGGAAGGAGAGAAGGAGACGGAGAGACGAGCACTGCTGGTGGGGAAGGAGATCGCCGGAGTTGGCCGGACTGTCCTTCACGTCAGAGATAAAGGGAGGAGCTGTAGCTGCTGTGTTGCCGGACTGGTTGCCGCTACGTACCATTACCTTTCCACCGCCCGTCGTCCGGAAGAGGTAAGCCTGCACTCCTTTTCAGTCTTCCAGCGTATTGTACGAAGAAGATGAGTGAGTATGTTGTGCACATACTGCGTATTCTGTACTATTTAGGAACGGGCTGAGTATATGAATTAGTTTAGTCGGGCTGGAACCTTAATTAAAAGTAGCGGGACTGATTATTTATCCTATAATGATACTAGTCTGATTATTTATTCACGTATCTAATCAATCTGTGGTAATATGAATGCAGTACTAAAAATATTAAGCGGGATGAAGATGTAATGACGATCAGCCAGGCCATTTAAATTAATAGACTGTTAACAGCAGAACTGGACAATCCTAACTACTATCGTTTTATAATAATAATAATAATATTAATAATATTAATAATAATAATAATAATAATAATAATGATGATGATAATAATAATAATATTAATAATAAGCTGGGAGAATCTTAATTAAGTATATCTGATATTACTTTGGCAAATTTATCACCGTTAAGGTAAAATTAACAAACTGATTACTTGGCCTAAAATGCTTAATAGTGGATTTGACTAAATGTAGATAAGATTAAATGAATTTAAAACAGAATTGGCATATCTTAATTAACATATTTTAATAGGATAACATTGTAATCCGTCATTCTGGCATTTTAAGTAGAACTACATAATTCACATAGCTCAATTTAAATAGCTCAGTCGTTTTACAATACTTGTAAGACATTCGAATAATTAGCGAGCATTTTGAATATAGGTAAAATAAAATGAATATTTTTTTTATATATATAAATTTGGCCAGTTTAATTAAATTTAGAGACTTTTAAATTAGACTACTATTTCCACTAAAATTATACTAAGTCGGCTACCGTGAATAATAAAAAAAATTCAGTTAGTAATGGACTAAACTAAAGTAAATAGGCATTCATGGAATTTACAGAGGTTTATTATTAACCGCCAAGTATACAACGAACTTAATAAATAAAGGAAAGTGATTAAAATAAATAACTTATTTAAGTGACTAATAGATTTATTAAAATATTGTAGAAGGGGAATGGGGATCATTATAGAATAAAAGACTAATTGTGGTATACTCTTAAATAAAAAGGTGATTATTTAGAGACTGAAGTAGGGGACGTGAATTAGGAGCATCAGATTTGAGGTAAGTTTCTCTGCCAATCTAAAATCGTTTCCTCGTATTATATATGTACTATGTGATACATGATTTTAGTGTGAGTTATGATGTATATGCATGTGATTTTGAAGTTGTTCGATCTGTGATATTTGAGAAGTGAAACTAAGTGCGTTTGGGTATTAAATATTTTATTTAAACATTTTCGAAGCAGTTTGAGAAATTGAGGAATATTTTGAGATATATTAATTCAAGATAAAAGAATGATATCATAAAGAGGTAGGCATCTCGGGAGTAATCCGGGGTGTCGGTTTTCCACGTCCCTTAAAATGTGGAGGGTGGTTAGGGCTACTACTAAGAAGAAGAGATTTTTGAGTAACTTCCGGATCGATGATCCCTTTTAAGAAGCATAGTTGTAGTAGTAGTCCCTAATCATTCAGAGATATCTTATTCAGGGGTAGTTGGTAGAATGAGTCCCGACTACTCGGGATGACTTACTACTCGGAGGGCTTGGAATCCCTTTTAGAGGGTGTGCACACTTAAGGTAGTCGTTTCGTTTCCACAAGAGCGTTGTGGTACCGGCATTGATCGGGGTGGCCGTCCGTAACCAAGGTTCACCGGGATCAGCCGAAAGGTTGAGCACCGCCCTTCTAAATTACTAGGAAGTTAGTGAAGAAGAGATTGTTGAGAATTTTTAAGAGAAGAGTTATTATAATATTTCCGAAGAAAAGTTGAGGATTTTAGTAAAGAAGTAATTTTGAGAAGAATCAAAGAGAAAAGAATTTTGGTGGAGTGTGTTATTTTTATATAGAATTATATGAAAAACTATTTTTCGCCAAACCTGATTATTTTACGGGATTGGGTAGTACTTACTTAGCTCTAAAGCTATTTTTTTTTATTTTTCTTGTCCCTACCTCCCCCATTAATTTTTAACAGGTGAGGAATTAGACGCCTATGTGGATTGATGGATTGCATGCGATTGGGAGCGAATTAGAAATAAACACTTATATTTTTCTGTTTGGTTTTAGTTGCCTGTGCATCCGGTTGAGAGATGACCGGGTGTGGCGGTAACACCCATTTCCTATTTTAGACTTCCGCTGTAATTCTTCAACTCTTTGATGAATGAATAAAGTATTCCTTTGAATAAATAATTATTTAAATGTATTTTTGGGTGAAAAAAAATGGGGGTGTTACAAATTGGTATCAGAGCCCTTAAGTTTTCCGAAAGGACTAGAACACGAGGTAATAGGTCGTAGGGAGAAATTCTGTCACAAAGACGATAACAGTCTAAGCTGGTTGGTGCATAATTGAGTCTTTGCGCTCGTCCAACTAACTGGGAATTTCTCCTTGTGCTGAAACTTCGTTGTTCGAAATCTTTGACGAAAACCATGGTTTCGAAGCGGGGATTTTCAAAATGTTTTCATAAAATTAGGAGAATGAACATACTAGGAAAAGGCCTGTTAGGCACGCGGTGAGAAGGAGAAACCATTGCGAAATTATTGAGTTATGAAATGTATGAAAATTCGTTCTTATGTGAAGTATGTGGAGTAGGTAAGATCCTCTTATGTGTTTATCTGTTTGAAGTTAGTAGAGAACTCGCAAAAGTAGAAGCCTTATGAATGCCTTAGTACTTAGTACGTGTTTTCTTTATTAAGAATAATGCCGCCGAGGAGAGACCCACATTCAACCCCAACTGTCACGGAGCTGGCCCAAACTGTCCAGCAAATGGCGCAGCTCATCGGAGCAGCTCAAGCCCAAAACCCTGGGATTGACTACGCAACAAGGGTAGCCGGGCGAAACCCTCCAAAATACTTGGGCGAGGAGGACCACCTTATCCTGGAGGACTGGATCCGCACTTTCGACAAGCTCTTTGACTCACTCAATTGCTCGCCGGAGCAACGAGTGAATATTGCGGTGTATTATCTGCACCAAGAAGCGGACCACTGGTGGGCCGCCAACGGACCAGCACTTCTCGGACAACCAGGCTTTGATTGGGGGGACTTCATTGTGGCACTGCATGATCGCTTCTATCCGGATCACGTGAAAGAGGCAAATTATGACGAATTTGTCAACTTTAAGCAAGGTGACCTGACTGTTCAGGAGTACCACACGAAGTTCGTTCAACTGGCTCGTTTTGCCAAGGACCTGGTGTCAACTGAGGCCAGTATGACCCGCAGGTTTGTTAACGGGCTTAACTACGGGGCCCAAAAGTTCGTGACGGTAGCAGAGCCGCGGAATTTGAACGAGGCTTATAGAAAGGCTGGTAAGTACTATCTGGTACACCAGAAAGAAAGAGAGGCACAGAAGAGAGACCGGAAGAATGCGGAGGTGGAGCAACAGCAAAAGAAGGCCCGCACCGATCGCCCTGAGCAAAGGCAAAACAATCAAGGCGGTAGAACCTTCCAAGGCCAGGGTCAGGGGAGGAACCAGCCAACCCAGGTACGGTACTACAAATGCAAACTATGCCCAAACAACCATCCTGAGAAGGATTGTGCAGGGAATGCGGTAAAGTGCTATAACTGCAACCGTATGGGGCATAGGGCGTATGAGTGCCTCGACGAGAAGAAACCCCGGGGCCAGGGCCAAAACCATGGGACCAACCAAACCGGGGGTGGGGATAATCGCGGTAACAACAACCGTGGTAATTCCGGTAACCGTCCAGCAGAGGCCAACCGTAATCAAGGCCAGGGAGGACAGAACAACACCCATGGCCGGATTTACGTCATGAACTAGGCTCAAGCAAATGCGCACGACGTGGTGTCAGGTACCTTTCTTGTGAACTCCACACCTGCTCATGTACTGTTTGATTCAGGTGCATCCCACAGTTTTATAGCCTCAAAACTTGTGGAAAAGTTAAAGTTAGAACCTACAACTAGACTTAATCTTAATGTAAAAATGGCATCCAACAAAGTTGTAGCATGTGGAAGTGTTTTCTCTAATATTTCCATAGTCATATCCGATACCGAACTACCCGGAGATCTAATCCAGTTTGACTTAGAGGATATCGACGTGGTGTTGGGTATGGATTGGCTAGGGAAATATAAAGCCAAAATCTTGTGTGATGAACAAAAGGTGGTCTTAAAAGGACCCAACAAGAAGCGTGTATCCTACAAGGCGGTCACATCTAAGCCAGGCGTGAAGCTGGAAACCATGCAACAAGTCAAACGATACGTCCGGAAGGGGTATGAGGTTTACTTATGCATGATCAAAGACTTAACATCCGAGAATCCGACCATTGACCAAATCCCTGTGGTCAATGAATTTCCGGATGTGTTTCCGGAAGAAATTCCGGGGATACCGCCGGAGAGGGAAGTTGAGTTTTCGATTGATCTAGTGTCGGACACCGCACCCATTTCGAAAGCACCATATTGTATGGCACTGAAGGAGATGTAAGAACTGAAGAAACAACTGGAGGAATTGCTTGAGAAGGTCTATATCAAGCCGAGTGTTTCGCCTTGGGGCGCTCCGGTCTTGTTCGTGAAGAAGAAAGACGGTAGCTTGAGGTTATGCATTGATACCGAGAGCTAAATCGTCTTACCATCAAGAACCGATACCCCCTACCCCGCATTGATGACCTGTTCGATCAACTGAAGGGAGCGGGTATACTTTCCAAGATTGATCTTCGATCCGGCTACCATCAGGTGAGGATCACAGAGAAGGATATACCGAAGACTGCATTTCGTACAAGATATGGGCATTATGAGTTCACCGTGATGCCGTTTGGTTTAACCAACGCACCAGCAGTATTCATGGACCTAATGAACCGTGTATTTCGCCCATATCTTGATACATTTGTGGTGGTGTTCATGTTAGGAAATTGATGTAACGTACCTCAAAAGTACAGCAGCGGAAGTTTAAAATTTTCCCAAAGAGATCTTCCCTGATTATGACAAAACAACGAATATGACAATAATAGTAGATCTGAGTTAGAACTTACAGATCTTCTAGCCTAGCGGTGATAATCCTTGACCTTAGGTGTCCACGTGATTTCTCCTTTCCGAAAGAACGGTTAGACCTCCCTAAGAGAAAGGCTAGGAAATCTCTTCGCAGGGAAATAAACTGGTAATACTGAATCTGAAAACTGGTATCCGAATTATGGAGGAGGGTGTATTTATACTAGTTCTAAACTAGTTTCCTAATCACAACCAAAGTCTTACTCATTAATGAGTTATAGTCCTACCAGGACCAATACACCATTATTAATTAAATAAGTTGGATAAAACATAATAATAATAATAATAACAATAGAGAAGTGGCTGCACGCCACTCTCTATATGTTATTTATTATTATTTAGTTTATTTTATTTTCCTTTTTAATTCCAAATCAATAAAAGAAAATACAAACTTTATTTAATAATAAATACACCTTAATTAGGTATAATAAATCTAATTTATCACACTTAATTTATTCTATCAAATAGAACTCTCCTTCAACATCATGAATTAAATATAGTTTAATCTAACTAATATTTAATCCATTTCAGTATTACAAATTAAATATTATTTAATCCAATTAATATTTAATTCCTTCTAACAATTCAATCGGAAGGTATAATCACTTGTTGTGTGACCCATAGGGCCTTATATATTAAACACTAATCAAATTAAGGTCTTGGCAGAATCCCTAGACGATTTACCAGACAATCTTAATATATAAGGACGTTTGCGAGGACTATTCAAACTCCCTGTAATATAGAGCTCAAAGTGATACGGTCCTTTCATTCAACGAACATTCAACTAAGTCTAGAACATGATATAGTGTCTATCCCAATAACTCAGTATCTGTCTCTCAATCTTTCTAGATGATCCATAACGATCATATTCGATATCCAAAACGAATATATCTTTGCATTATTTTGAAACCAGCGCCTGAGCCTGAAGAAGTTGAGAGCTTCTCTCCCTAAACCTTACACGGTTTAGGCTCTTCTTCTCACGGATTTCACCATTTCCGTTCGATTCTCTTGGTTTGAGCTTGGATTCCGGCCATAATACCTCCTCCTTTCTCTTGGTTGTATTATTCCCGGAGTTTGAGCTTCTTTTTGGGAGTTTTGAGCTAAGAACGAACTTTTTCCTCATCGCTAACACTGTTCACCGAAGAAGGTCAACGCCTCCACACGTCGCTCCTCTTGCTCAAACTTGGATTTGGAGGTTGTTCTAGCTTCGCCTAGGAGTGGGGATTAACTTTCTACAACTTTTTTCATCATCAAGAAACTTTGGATTTTCGTCATCTTCCCCAACGGTCACAAACTCCATTGGTACGGATTTCTAGCTCATGTTTTCTTTTGAGGGGGTTGCTGCCGTCTAGCTTCCCCTTCTTCTAGCAATGGTTACCAAGAAGAAGAAAGAAACTCCTCTCCCCTTGAAGGCTTCTTCTCGGCTTAAGGCCAAAGCCCAAGGGAAGGAAATCGATGAAGCGGTCGAGGAACTCGCACAACAACAACTAACTACGGCAACTACTTCCAAAGATGCTACAATATCTCTTACTTCGGATTCTTTGCAAACCGAGGTAATTCCCAACACCTTTGATGATATTGTTGATAATGCAAGTGTGACCGAGGTTGTTGATGGAATGGAGGATAATATTTCGATTGATGGCTCAATTGATCCAATTGAAACTTTAAGTGTTGAAGAAGAACGAGAATACATTGTTGACCCTTCGGTGAAGGATATTTTGGACCAAGAACACATTGATTCCTTGGTTGTGTCTAATGCCGAACCTGACCCGGACATTGCAATTGTTAACACAATGGCCGCGGCATCTACTACACCAATTGATGAGGCACCTACTTCTCATGCCGCGACATCCACTCTTGCACCTACTACTCATGCCGCGGCATCTCCTCCGAATGCTAATGGGACATCAAAATGGGGTCAGCCCGGGACTAAGCCTTCCTTTGTCTCACTCTTCAAGGATAATAGGCAACCTGACAAAGGCATGAAACTACACTACATCGAGCCTAAAGGAGACATCATTGATCTTACTACCCGGAACCTATCTTCCATGGTGCAAATTTGGGGACATTGTCTTGTTGCCTATTTTGATGGAAGGTTCCCCGGGTTGACAAAAATCCATGCTATGACCCAAAAATGGGGTGTACCGTGTAGAGTCAGGTCTCATGACAAGGGTTGGGTCATATTCAAGTTCCAAAATGATGAAGATCGATCAAAAGTTCTTATGGAAGGCCCCTACTCCTTGTTTGGGAAAACCTTCCATCTAAAACCTCTTTCCGAGGACTTTTCCATTGATGATGAAGAATTCTTGAAAGTTCCCATTTGGGTCCAATTTCCTCACCTACCAATGAGAATTTGGGAGGAGGAAATCATAAGTGAAGTTGCCTCAAGAGTTGGAGTTCCATTGACCACGGATAGGGTTACTCTTGAAAAAGCAAGGTCCTCCTTTGCACGAGTCCTAATAGAGGTGGATGCTTCCAAGGCCCCCCCTCTCTTGATTCCTATTCGGCTACCAAATGGGAGGCTACACAAACAAAGGGTGAGGTACGAAACCTTTCCAAACTATTGCTTTCATTGCAAGTGTTTCGGTCACCATGCTTTCACTTGCAAGGTTATTGCCCAAATTGAAAAAGAAGAAATGGAGATTGCAAGGAAGAAAAATGTGCTTGAGACCGAGGAGGAGGAAGTTGAGGTGGGAACCAATCCAACAATTGAAGAGCCCGTGACTAACATTGGTATTGAACATGATAAAGGGAAAGAGAAGCTTGTCAATGATTATGAGGCCCCAAAAATTGATCATCCTTTCTTCAAGAAGTTACGGTTCTCCAAGAATAGCAAAAAGAAACCAAGAAGAGGGGAGATAACCACATCTTCACTCCTAGACGACCAAACTGATTTGCAAACCTCTCGGGTGGTTAGAAACTTTCATGATGTATACCAAGATGAGGTGATCTTTGATATGGATCCGGATGAGTACCTTACACCTACTATTAAGGTGAAACAAATTGACGAAATGGATAAAGAAGCTACCATAATCAAGATTGACCACAACCTTAAGGTGGTCAATGATAATGAACCCGGTATGTTCTTTACCAAAGATTGCTTGGAAGGTCTCCCTGAAATTACTCACACCAAGGAAGGCTATACTTATGGCTCGGTATTCATGAGGAGTGTTTATAGACATTTCCTATGTAGATTCTTCGAAGATGGTTGCCCTAGGGGAAATGCTTGCAAAGTGAAGAACCCAAAGAAGATGGATCTTACCAAAAGCCGTGTGATCTATGATATTAGGGAAGCATATCTTGATGACGTTATTACTAAACTTGGGGTGGACCAAGATAATCGGCCATGCATCCATGTCTCGCATGTTGATGAAGTCAAGGAGGGGATGACAAGATTGGACAACTATTTGAATGTAACACAAGATGGCCAAACCATGGGGCTGAATTTTACTACTCTTTGCCTTAAAAAGCTGCCGGGAGTCATTGCTAACGAGGAGGGGTATGAGTTCACCTCTTTCTTTGTTCAATATATATATGATTTCCTTTTTCTTGCTAGGTACAAACCGAGGGGCAAAACAGTGGACAACGAGGCCAAAAAGGCCAAAAAGGGGAGATCTTTCTAATCCTTTTTATGTTTTTAGCAGCATGGAATGTCCGAGGCCTTAATAAGGTCTCTAAACAAAACTCCGTAGTTAATTTTATGCTTTCTAATTGTGTTCGTGTATGTTGCTTACTTGAAACAAAAATGACCTATTCTAATTTTGATAGATTTTCCAAAAATAGGCTGCCTTCATGGTTATTTTCTACAAACTTTGACCTTATTGAGGGTGGACGCATGGCCATACTTTGGGACCCTAACTTTGTACAAGTTAATATCCTTGAAATTGAAAAACAACATGTCCATTGTGAAATTAAGTGCAAAACTACTCAAGTACAATTTTTTGTTACATTTGTCTATGCCCTTTACACGGTTTTGGAGAGAAGATTGCTTTGGAACCATGTGGCTAATTTGGAACCTAACATTACTAGCCCTTGGCTTGTAATGGGAGATTTCAACTGCGTTGGTAGCCCAAATGAGAGGGTGGGTCCCACCCCTCCCTCGGCCTATCTTATCCAAGACCTAAATGACTTTAAAATTCAAGCTAATCTTGTTGATACTCCTTCCACGGGTGAGTTCCTTACTTGGAATAGAGGATCCCTTTGGGCTAAGCTTGATAGAGTGCTTATGAATCCTAGTTGGAGTATAAATGGTGTTTCTTGTAAAACTCATTTTTGTGATATGGAAGCAGATTTTGATCATGTTTCCTCTCTTGTTTCTATTGGTCAAAACCAGTTCAAAGGCACTAAACCTTTCAAGTTTTACAATATGTGGCTTAAACATGAGACTTTCAACACCATCCTTACCAATCATTGGGGTAAAGTGGTCTATGGAAGCTCTCAGTTCATCCTTGCCCAAAAATTGAGAACCTTAAAAAGACCTCTTAAAGAACTAAATAAATTGAACTTTGGTCATATTTCGGAGAAGGTTAAGGAAATAAAAAAGGAGTACAAACGGGTCCTTGGGTTTTCTATGCATGCTCCTCTTGATGTTACCATTAGGAATGAGGTTGAACTGATTAAAAAGAAACTCCTTAACCTTAAATCGGCCGAGGAAGATTTTTATAGACAAAAAGCCAAAGCTACACATCTCATCCAAGGTGACAAGTGTACTAAGTATTTCCATTCAATTGTCAAGAAGAATCTGGCTAGAAACACCATTACGGCCCTTAAACTTCCCAATGGTGATTCTACCACTTCAATTGAACAAGTTGCTATGGAATTTGTTGAGTTTTACACTAAGCTATTTGGCACACACTATCCTACCACGGGGTTAGATCCTAGCATTGTTACTTCCGGTAACATTCTGCCTTTGGATGATGTTGAGGGCTTAGTTACTCCAATAACTGATTTGGAGATTAAAGAGGCCCTCTTTGATATTGGTGATAACAAAGCACCTGGCCCTGATGGTTATACCTCGGCCTTTTTCAAGCACAACTGGCACCTTGTTGGTCATGACTTTATACTAGCCATCAAGGGCTTCTTTGGATCTGGTAAGCTACTTAAACAACTCAACCATACACTCATTGCCTTGATTCCTAAGACCACACACTCACCCACAGCTTCAGATTTTAGACCTATTTCGTGCACCAATGTTATCTATAAGGTTATTACCAAGATCCTAGCTAAGAGATTAATTCCTTGCCTACCTAATTTGATTGACCCTGCCCAGGGGGCCTTTGTTGATGGTAGGTTTATGATTGATAATGTGTTTATTGCTCAAGAATTGGTTAGAGGATATGCTAGGAAACATGTTTCACCACGTTGTATGATCAAAGTTGACCTTCGGAAGGCCTATGATACTATTTCATGGGACTTCCTTTATAACATGCTTTTACATATTGGCTTTCCTTGCAAGTTTATTCATTGGATCATGGAGTGTGTTACCACACCTTCTTATTCTGTCTCTATAAATGGGGTTCTTCATGGGCATTTTATTGGTAAAAGGGGCCTTAGACAAGGTGATCCTATGTCCCCCCTGTTATTTGCTCTTTGTTTGGAATATTTGTCTAGATTATTGAATGTGAAAACCTGTGAAGCTCCTTTCAAATTCCATCCTAAGTGTGGTAGTTTGAAAATCTCACATATTGCTTATGCTGATGACTTGATGCTTTTTTCGAGGGGTGACTATCCATCTATTAAAATTCTTATTGACTCCTTAGAAGAGTTTGGTAACATATCTGGCCTTCGGGTCAATTATGATAAATCCAATATCTTCTTAGGGGGAATGGCTATATATGAGCTTGATAACATCTTGAGTTTGGTTGATTTTAAAGCAGGATCTTTTCCTGTTAAGTATCTTGGGGTTCCTCTTGCTCCCCTTAAGATATCTGTGACACACTTTGCCCCACTATTAGAGTCCATCTCCACCTATATTAGCGCATGGAATCTCAAGACACTCTCCTATGCTGGTAGAGTTGAACTCATTAAAGCCGTCATACAGGGTGTGCATTCTTTTTGGTTACAAATGTTTCCTATCCCAAAGGTAATACTTGATAGAATAACAGCTATGTGCCGTATCTTCCTATGGGGTTGTAAATACTCTAGAGTATCTTGGGCTGATGTATGTCTCCCTAAACATGAGGGTGGCCTTGGTATACATGATACCAAAATCTGGAACTCAGCTTTGCTTGCTAAAAGTTTTTGGGACATTCATCTTAAAAAGGACACTCTATGGGTTAAGTGGGTTCATAGTGTGTATCTTAATGGCCGAAGTGTGTGGGATTTTGTCCCACACCATAGGGATTCACAATTAATGAAGAAATTTGCCATGGTACGTGATGAGATCATCTCCAAATTCGAGGATGTGGCTGACACCATTCGCTGTTTGAACTCCTTTCAAGCTAATGGTAAACTTGTATCCTCCAAAGTCTATGATTTACTTAGAATTAAGGCCTCTACCCGTAGGTGGATGTCCTTTATTTGGAAAGACTATATTCCCCCTAAATTTTCCTTTACTACTTGGTTGGCATTCCGGAATAGGTTGGCTACATGTGATAATCTTCATAGATTAGATGTAGTTAACATTTGTGTTATGTGCAAGGGTGGGCCGGAAACGGCTTCACACCTATACTTTGAATGCCCTTTTTCAGGGAAAATTTGGAGCTTGGTGAAGAATTGGATGGACATGCCGAGGCTTATGGGCACACTTTCAAGCTCGGTCAAATGGATTAAAAAGGAGAGGAGTGGAGCCACCATTATAGCTAAAGCAACAAGGATTGCATTTTGCTTCTCGGTCTATCACATTTGGAGGACTAGAAATGCCATCAAGTTTGATGGTATTTCCCCCAAAGTTGAAGACGTTTTTGCTCGGATCAAGTATATTGTCTATAAAGTTTTGTATAGCATATATCCACCTGAATTGGTGGTTTTTTGACGTTCACTAGCCCATCACCTTGTTTTTGTGATCGGCTTTGCATAGAGTGCTGACCAGCCTCTCTGGTTTTGGTTTTGGAGGTGATGGGTTATCCATTCTTTGGATAGCCTAAAATTTTGGCCACCTTTTTGCTTGTACAGTTTAAACTCTTTGGATGGTTACTCAATATATACTTACTGTTCATCCAAAAAAAAAATATATCTTTGCATTGGCCAATGACTTTATGATCCATCTAGATATGAGAAGTAGAATGTTCTCTCTTAATCTATTATGAGGAATGAATCCTTTCTTGGCTCAACTACTACTCCATGTGCTTCGTGATGCACCCAACACATGCCGTATCTACCCCGATTGGAGTGCAAGCGTTGGTCATGGTCAAAGTACATCACTCCGCACATGTAGTACGTATTGACCTCAAGTCGGAGGACTATTACACTACTCTATACGCCGATAATCCCATAGACACATGAATAGAACTTATCAAATGGTTTCTCGGTGGGTATGCCAATATTCTCTAAAATATCTATGTGACCATCATGAATTACAGGAACTCATAGTCGTGAGATCAACTATACTTTCTAAAAGTATGATGCAATCTACATACCAATCTTATCGCATATCATCAATATCCCATTCTTGATGATCATTGATTGGGGCTATTTTAGGACCTTATGTTATATCATATAAGCTCCCACTTACTTATTGACGACATAAATCCAAGGGAACACAATTATGAATAAAACATTGACAATCGAAAACAATCATTCATGAAGTGTAATACCGTGTATATATCAAATATAAAAACTAAATGTGATCAAGTACATATGTCTTTAAAAAAAATGATTGTCGCTAGGACATATATACTAACAATCTCCCACTTGGCCTAGTGCCAATCACCAATGCGTCTAACACCTAGATTCTCAAAATGTCTAGTATGTTTCTCGCAGCTCAAAGGTTTGGTGAAGGGATCAGCCAAATTGTCCTCAGTGGAAACACGTTCTATTGGAACCTCTCCTCTTGCTATCTGCTCTCGAATCACATGATAGCGCCTCGGCACATGTCCATTCCTCTTGTCGCATCTTGGTTCCTTTGCTTGTGCAACACCACCAGTATTGTCACAATAAATGGTTATTGGATGACTATCATTTGGAACAACCCCTAATTCTTTGAGGAATTCACGTATCCATACGGCCACTTTAGCTGCTTCTGATGCAGCAATGTACTCGGCTTCTGTTGTCGAATAAGCTGTAGTGTCTTGCTTGGAACTCTTCCAGTCTATTGCTGCTCCATTGAGATTAAAAACATATCCTGATTGTGACTTATAGTCATCCTTATCTGTCATGAAGCTAGCGTCAGAGTAACCAGATGCTATTAGTTTCTCTTGTCCACCATAAACCAAGAAATATTCTTTAGTTCGTCTAAGATACTTAAGAATAGTCTTAACAACACTCCAATGTCGTTCTCTTGGATTATTTTGATATCGACCAACAATACTAAGCGCATAAGCCACATCTGGCCTAGTACAGATCATAGCATACATGATTGAACCAATTGCAGAAGCATATGGAATCCCTCTCATGCGTTTGATCTCATCATCAGGTGAAGGACTATCCTTCTTTGATAACGATATCCCATGACCCATCGGGAGGAATCCTTTCTTAGATTCTTCCATTTTAAATCGATGTAGTATTTTGTCA